ACTGTAGGTCTTTAAAAATCAAGTATTTATCAGATGATTGCATTCGGACATTGCTGGGAAACACTATCACTAAGCGAAATGCGATAAAAACATTATTTTTTCATCAGTATTCAAAATGTATTCCACGTAGTCATTTGATATGTTTGGGTAGTTGTAGTGTTGTTGCTATATTTTGGTTGTAAAGGCAGCTAATAAATGAATAAGAGAAAGAGAGAAGGCAGGGGAAAGTGAAAATGTGTGGAGAATAATTATGAAGAGAGACAAATAAGAATCAATGAAGGAATAGAGAGAGAGAGAGAGAGAGAGAGAGAGAGAGAGAGAGAGAGCAAATTAAGATTTATTTTTTAGTTTCCTTTCCTTTCTGTATCTCCATCAATTTCAAGTCTCACTGTTTCCCCTTATTCCACTGTGTCCCTTCCTCTTTTTAGTCCCTCTCTGCCTCTGGCTCTCTTTCTTTCTACCGGTCTGTTCCATTTACACCTCGTAACGTCTTTCCTTCTTTCATCTACGCTCTTGGGTTATTTCTTACTTTCTCATCTATCATTTTTTACTTCTCGTTCTTTCTAATGATACCTTTGAGATGTAAAACAGAAACTAATATAAAATATCATATTCAAGGGGTAGGACTATTCGTTATATTTCTTTCCATTGTATCCTTATTAGCATTAATAATTAATATAATTCCAATACTGTTGTTTTCATTATTAATATTATTCTAATCGCCATTATTATCATCAATGAAATGATCCATCTTATTCATTATTCGTGGTCTCTCTCTCTCATTCAGTGTCTTGTGTTTCTCTCTCTATCTCCCTTTCTATGTATATCGTCTATCACCAATCTCGATCTCACGACATTCCTTTCTTTATATTTCCATTTCTCCACATCTTTCTTCACTAGACTAAAGGAGAAAAGGGAGGAAAGGGAGATAGAGAATGGGTAAAAGTGGGATAAAGAAAATGAATAAGAGAGAAAGCACTGATATAAGATGCTATTTATTTATCTATGTTTCGGAAATTACAGCAATACAGTGTATTTACTTACATAGGTATATAGTATTCATACACAAATACATTGATCAACAAATCGATAAATATACACAGTATAGATGCAGATATATAAACACCTAGATATAGATATCGCCTTATTTTTATACATTTCCCATTTCTATTATACTTATTATTATAAAAAGGATATTAATAGATATTAGTTTCAAAATTTTAGCACAGAGATTCTCGTCATTTATACCATATGAAGTTTATAGTATATAATAAAGGACTGAGGTCATGACGGGACCCTTAAATAACAAGAGCAATAATATTAATTATGATGATTAGAATTACAGCAACAACGATAATAATTAGGTTCATAATAAATAATAAACATCAGTTGTAGTGATGATAATAATGATAATAGTAATGATAACAATATTCAGGAGAAAATGAGGTGAAGGATGATAACAACAAGGATAAAAGGAAAGGAGGAGGAGAAGGAGAAAGATGATATAGGAAATATATTGATTAGAGAAAATACATAAGAAAACAACAACAGAAAGACACTAGGAAAGTAAGTGAATGCATAAGCGAAACAAACAAACAAACAAACGAAAAATCTTCTTCTGTCTCCTATACTTGAGATTTTTTTTTACATTTTTTCTCTCCGTCCTCCTCGATTTTATGACCAACTTCCCTCTTTCTTTCCTTTCAAATTCTCTCTTCCTATATCCATTCCTCCCTTTCGTTTCTTTTAATCCATTCATGCGCGTCACTAATTAGATGACGAGGCATTTGGCTACCTTAATTAAGAGAGTCATAGTTACTCCCGCCGTTTACCCGCGCTTGGTTGAATCTCTTCACTTTGACATTCAGAGCACTGGGCAGAAATCACAATGCGTCAGCATCGATCACCGACCATCGCATTGCTTTGTTTTAATTAAACAGTCGGATTCCCCTGGTCCGTGCCAGTTCTGAGACGGCCGTCTGTTGCCAGCCGCGGCCGGGGAAACGGGAGGGAAACCCCGGCCTTTGCCCGAGAGGCGCCTTCCGCGTTGGTCCCGACCCGCGACGGCGGGGGCACCTGCTGCCGGCGGGCGCTCGGGCTGCGCGGCTCGAGCGGAGGGGAGGGCACCCGGCGGTGGAGCGCAGAGCGGCCGCGGGCCCGGCGACCGCCCCTGCGGGGTCGGGTCCGAGCTCGGAGCGACCTCGTGAGAGGCCGCCCCTCGCCCAGTCCTTCTCCCTCGGAGCGGGCCGAAGCGCCGCGGCGCCGCAGGCCGCCGATGCCGCGGGCACCCTTGGGTCCCCTCCTCGCCGCCGCCTCCGCGCGTCGCCGGCGGCCGCCCGCCAGGAGAACGAGGGACCGCTTCCGGCTGTGGGCCCGGCATGGCTCGACCCTCAGAGCCAATCCTTGTCCCGAAGTTACGGATCTAACTTGCCGACTTCCCTTACCTACATTGATCTATCGACCAGAGGCTGAACACCTTGGAGACCTGCTGCGGAGTAAGGTACGGACTGCCCCCCCGCGACGCGGGCGTGCTGGGTTGGCATCTCAAGAAAACTCCCGAGGGCCCGTTCTCTGCTAGAAGACCTGCCTAGGTAAAGGTTTTAAATAACCACCACCGCCCCTGCGGCGGCGCGTGTCCTCTCGACCTCCACCCCACAGGGATCGCTCTCCTTTCGGCCTGGAGCGTTCGACGAGCAAAGCGAGAAGCGCATTGCGGAGCCGCGCACAATGCCGCCGCCCCCATCATCATCGTTTTCGTTTTTTCTCTCTCTTGGTTTGGTTGGTTGGTTGGTACCGGAGGGGGTTTACCCTATCCACCTTTTCAAGGGCCGGCGGTAGCGCACGGGACACCAAGCGCTTATTTGCGCGGTGCTCTACGGCGAACCGGTGGCGATCGCAACAGCGAGGATTGCTCCCAACAGATCACAATCTCACGTATGGCTGTTACGGCCAACGACCCCCACTCAAAGTGAACGAACTTGGGGGCCTCCAGCAGCCTAAAAAAGAGAAGAAAGCTCTTCCCCGGGCTACCGCCGGCGTCGGCGAACGAGTACGCCTGTTGCCAAGCACACACACTGGCCTCCGGACCACCGGATCTAAGATTCGAGATTCAAAGGGGGGCTGGCTGCCAGCGCGCCGCGCACTCTCTTTTGCTCTTTTTTCTCTTCTCAAAGCTCTCCCGGAAGCCGTGGCGGTGGAAGCCAATCGTCAAACCCCTCGACCGACCCGACCACCACAACAAGCAGGGGGAGGAGGCAGGGGGAGATTCTTTTCCACGCCGGTTTTCCGAGGAGGAAGAGGAGGAGGCGCTTACTCCGAGAGCGAAGGGGAGGTCGTAGTACACACCGTCACGGTTAGGGGGTCTCCAAGCCCGCAAGCGGGCGAGACCGGCGAGGTCGGCAAGAGAGCGGTCGTCGCCGCCGCCGCCTCCCCGCGGGGGAGGGGGGGGGGGGGGGTCGACTCCCACTCTCTTCAGAGAAAGCCCTCTCACAGAAGGGGGCGGGAGGAGGGTCGTCGTGACCGCGACGGCAGCAGCGGCCGTATAAGCCGCCGCCGCCGCCGGCATGGTCAGACGGCCACCCGCACGACAAAACATTCTTTCCCACGCACGGGTCTGTCTTTGCCACAGGGCAGGTCACGGGATTTTAACCGTATTCCCTTTAGCCCGAAATCTGACTGGACCGTTTCTTTGGCTTTCTTTCTCTTTCTCCTTTTTTTGTTCGTTTTGGATCCAGACAAATTGCTGCGAGAGGAGGCGAGAGGAAGGGGTATCCCCGGGGGCGTGTGTAGTGAACTGCGATTGCAATTATATCTCGCCTTAGAGTGTAAAAGTAGCGTGACTGCCACCACCCATTTAGTTGCCGTATGGGAACGGATGTTGTTTGTGGGAAGAGGGGTAGTGTAGAAGGCGATGCAGGAAAGGAGCGATAGTTTGTGTGGATGTGTGTGATGCGTGTGTGTGGTGTATATGGTTGTGGCGAGAATATAAAGGTCGGTAAGCATGAGTAAGCCGAGGAGAGGCGTGTGCGGGGAGAAATCTCCAACGCATTTAATAAAGTAATCAACTGTCATTAATTATGATTTCCACTGATACTCACAGGTTTAGGGGGAAACTCATCATGCGTAAAATTATTTATTAAAATGACAAAAGACTTTTAAGACAATAAAACGACATCAAAACTGAACACTGAACAAAAGATAAAACACTGAACAAAAGATAAAACACTGAACAAAAGATAAAACACTGAACAAAAGATAAAACACTGAACAAAAGATAAAACACTGAACAAAAGATAAAACACTGAACAAAAGATAAAACACTGAATAATAAAATCAACACTGAACGGTAAAATAATTTAAAAAGCACTGGTAAAATCACAAGAAATAAAACCATAAATGGACTGGCACCGAGATCATAAGGTCACTTCTCCGAACAAATGACTTAGCAAACTTTTCTCACCTCCTATAGTCAAGTACCTCCACGACCACTTATCTTTGGAAAAAGGGGAATGCCCGTTCCGGGGTTCCCTCACTAGCAGTCCGAGTCACGACCAACCCTCGAATCCCCTGAGTTAGTCCGTCTGACCTCCCACGTCAGTTCTTACGCTTGAGTAAGCTAAAATCAGGGTTTTCCTCTAATACTAACTTAATAAAATTCATGTTAAAATCCAACAAAACTATAAAAAGGAGATACTTCTATAATAGCACTTGATAAAAATATAATTAACTATTGAAATCGAAATAAAAGTTTACGTTAAAAAGAACCATCGTATCAGTTATGGCCATATATAAAATTTGATGAATTAAAAGTAGTAAATAAAAGTAATTAAAAGCAACCCATTATAAAGATTAGAAATAAAAGACAAAAAAAAAAAAAAAATGAATTGGTTCTGATTTCATTATTAAAAGTGAAATAAAATAATAAATATGTTTAAATGTTAGCTTACTGAGGGTTAAAATCCAACTGAGGTCGTGATGTAGGAGGTGAGAAAGGTGCCATAAAAAAATCATACAAAATAAGGTTTATTAAAATAATAAAAGGTGCTGGTGTGGCAACACGCTGCGCGCGAGCATCCTCCTCGCTGGCAGGGATAAACAGTTCGTTCTTTCAGCTTCGGCGAAGGATGGACGGCCGAAGTCCGTGGCTTCTCAAAGAGGGGGATGCAAGGGAGACGATGCCAATTTTCAATGGTCTCCCCAATTGTTCCATGTGAAAATACAAGGTAAAATGTCGCCACCTCGCGGCCAGTGGAGTGTTGCCACCCCGGGTTCATATATTTTCAAAACCACGCCTGTGGGAGAGGTTAAAAATGAGAGATTTGGGGTTTTGGGCATTTCCTGGAGTGCGACGACGTACTTTTCGACGTCGTCCACTACACGTGACCGGCCGTCGGACGGCCAAGCCAAGACACCGGAAGAGGCTGCCGCTGCTAAAAAAGCAGCCTCCTCCTCCTCCGGCGCCGACAAGCCTCCTCCTCCTCCTCCCCCTTTACCGCTGCCGCAAAAGCAAGTCGCGGCCTCGGACCCCACCCCCGATCTCGGACTGCCCCGGAGGAGAGACCGTCAGGGGAGCAAGACGAGGGTACCGGGGATCCCCGGACGGGCGCGCTGGAAAACGACCAACCCGCCCGACGAGTCGAGCAAGGGGCCGAACGCGCCGCCGGTTCCTACCAGGACCCGGGCCTCAGACGCCCATCATCCCAACGCGTCGCGGCGACCTACTGCGGGCGGCGCTCCCCACTCTAGGCTCCTTCGGCACGAGGCCTCCGGAACGGGAAGTCGCAACACGCCCGCTACCGTCTCCCGGCAGGCCGACGAACTGAATCCCCCAGTTCGATCTTCGAATCTCCGCCCGTTTAGCCTCTTAACGGTTTCACGTTCTCTTGAACTCTCTCTACAGGGTTCTGTTTCAACTTTCCCTCACGGTACTTGTTCGCTATCGGTCTCGTGGTCACATTTAGCCTTAGATGGAGTTTACCACCTGCTTTAGGTTGCGGTTTCAGGCAACCCGACTCTAAGGAGAGGCCCGTTCCGCACTCCCGAAACCCCCCTCCCCGCGAACGAGGAGGAGGAAGTCTCTTTCCGCTACACGGGCCTGACACCCTCCCTGGGTATGAGAGTCATTCATGAACAACTTAGGCGGCTCGGGAGCGCGTGCAGGACCTCTCCCGAACGCAGCACCCCTCGAGCCCCCCGCGAAGGGACGCGAGGCTTTGTGCTGGGCTCTTCCCGTTTCGGTCGCACTTACTCAGGGAATCCCGGTTGGTTTCTTTTCCTCCGCTGATTAATATGCTTAAATTAGGCGGGTCATCTCCCTCCACTCAAGGTCGACGTGAGCAAGGAAGGAAGGAGAGAGAGCGCGGTGGTGCCCACCCTCTTTCTTTCTTTCTTGCTTGCTCCTTTGTGGTATACAAGCTGGGCTCATTTCCCTCTCGTTCACAATCTGGCTATTTCTCTTTCTTTTGTTTCTTCCCTGTCCGCCAACCAAGAGGCCCGAGACTCCACGAGGCTTCCTCTCTCTCTCTCTATTCTCTCCTCTTTCTTTTCTCGCGGCGGCCGGGAGGGCCAACCGAGGCCACCTTCCCTGCGCGCCGAGTGAGAACGGTCCAAGGAACACCGTCGCCGCCAGCAGCAGCAGCAGCCCGCGCAGGCTCGGGAGAGGGCGGCGGAGGGATCGAGACCCCTCGCCACCACCACACGACCCTCGCCCGCACGGGGCCACCGCCCCCGCCGCCGCCGCGGCCGCGTCGGGCCCGGCTACCTTCTTACCTAGCGCGGCTCCCTCGAGGCGCCCTCGCCTTTCTTTCTCTCCTTGGGAGGAGGGGATGGAGGAGGAGAGGGAGAGAGAGTCCGCGTTCGTTGGTTGGCTTTTTCAGGCGCGGAGAGGTCCCGTGCGCGCTCTCGCGCTCTCAGGATGCGCCCTTGCCCCTCCAAGCACGGCCGAGCCGCCCGCTTTGCCCTCCCAACCGTTCCCCTGGGGGTACTGGCAAGGGGCAGGCAGCGAGCACGCGGGACTGGCCGGCTGGTTTGGTCGGCTTCGGGGAGCGCCTCTCCGGCCTTTCGGCACGTTAATCCCACACTGGGGCCAATGGCTGGCAGGCAGCATGGCCGGCGCGGGGGCCAGGGGGAGGACTGGCCATCCGCGCCAACAGCGACGGAAGAGAGAGCAAACCCTTCACGTCTTCAGGGAACGCCGGACGCGGGACCTGCGTCCCTCCAGGTCCGGCGAACTCCCCAGGGCGGAATCGTTGGCGCGAGGGGCAGCAGCAGCAGCCACGTGCCGCCACAGCCGCCGCCGCCGCCCCGAACCTCCGGCACAGTCGAGGATAAAGGCCTCGCCGTTGTGCTTTTGCGGAACCCGCCCGGCCCAGGGCCGCTGCTCGACCTCCTCAGCCCACTACTCGTCACCAGCCCGCCAGCGAGACCCGGTCCCCCCTTCCAAGAGGGAACAGGGAACAGGGAGGCAGGGAGGGAGAGAGGTAGGGAGAAAGGAGAGCGGCCGGAAAGGGGGGGAACCAACACGGCGCTGTTTCGCCTCACTCTCAAGAGATTCTCGTAGCGGCCTTCCCGGAGAACGGGCGTGGGCT